TTAAACGTGCTATTCGTCAAACAATCTTGAAACAAATTTTCACAGTTTCCACAAAAATATTAAGCAGCACAACTGTTTTCGACATTGATAATAATTACAAAAAATATTTTTTAAATAAGTGCTGCTCTTTTGAACTTTCCTTAAAAAATGTATTAATTACAAAAAAAAACAAACAAACATAAAAATAATAATAAAGGTATCACAGTTTCCACAAAGATATTAAGCAGCACTTAACTGTTTCCAGCACTCATAATATTAAGAAATGTTTCCTGAGCACCATATCAGCATATTAGAATGATTTCTGAAGAATCATGTGACACTGCAAAATCAAAAGATAAGCTCTGCATTTTATTAATTATCAGCTCATTTCAACATCAAAGACCGCAATAGGAGAGCGCGCGGCATCAGCACTGGAAAGATAACTTGTCTTACTACTTTTAATGAAGATGATTGTGTGTTGACTGTCTGCGTCTTACTTTGTTTCATCCGGCTTGCTGAAGAGATACTCAGCTACTCGTCCACGGCGATGCGCGTTTCATTAGCGCAGTCATATCTGACTATAATGTCATATAGCCTATAACAGCTAAATTCAGCTTTGCATTACAGGAATAAATTGCACTTTAAAATATTTTCAAATCAAATTTTTTAAATGTTAATAATATTTCACAATATTGCTGTTTTTACTGTATTTTTGATCAAAGAAATTAAGCCTTGGTGAGCACAAGAGACTTTTACTGACTGCAATTTCTTATTTAAAACCATTAAAAAATTGTCTTGATGAACTTTTCTTTTATAGTGTCAATTACTATAGACTAACTTGAATAGTTTTTTTGTTTTTTAATCTATGAAATCCAATGTAGAGTTAATAGAATGTTATTTATTATTTAATTTTATTTTATGTGTTATTTGATTTAATTGGTTTTTAGGTCGTCAAGGATACAGTGAACATTCAGATCGGAGATGTAAATGACAATGCGCCATCCTTTTTCAACCAGCCCTATGCTGTTCAAATACCAGAGGTAATGTATAACACTTCACTTCTCAAAATCAACCTGCAGTGGCATTCACATCCTATTTTGCTTCTATAATGTGATTTATCTTCTCATTACTGTAATATCCTGTTTGATATGGAAATATGTTGGGTGAGACATTTTATTTTATTTTTATATGTTATTTAATTTTTTTAAGTTGTTTTATTTGGATTTATTTCGTTTTTAATTAATGCATTTATTTTAAATATTTCTTTTTTATTTTAAAACATTTTATATGTTTTACAATAAATATTGTATTTTGTTGTTTTATTTTAATTCATTTTTAAGTTAAACTTTTTTTTTCTTGAAACAATGTTCACCAGTGATTTCATGATGTCTTATGATAAGACTCATTCAAAGTCTGAATTCCAAATATGTTTGGAATGTGGAGAATGTTTTTGAATTTTCTTTATTTCTATATATCTTTCTTTTTTCGTCATATTCGTCACCCCCGACTAAGATCAACAGACTTCCCCTTCTCTCACTCTCCTGCTCTGTCAATCAACACTCTTCCAACTTCAATTTATCCCTCACTCCTTTTCCCATCATCCGTCTGGCCCATCCCCTTCTAATCCCTGACATGAGGTAATCTGGTAGAGTAAAGTAGACATTTCTCTCTCTCTCTCTCTCTCTCTGCAGCACACACACACCTCAGCTGATGTTTTTATATTGTGTGTCTATATACATCCCACACTCCTCCACACAGCAAATCTTCAAAGCCACAGTTTTTTTTTCTCTTTTCAATCTGTCATTCTGTGTAAATAAAAGTAGGGTGAGAGTGAGCGAGTGTGAGCGAGAGAGCTGTATTTAGCTGATGTTGTTTACTGAGGCTTGATGATTAAGCTGTCTGCACTTAGGAGGACAGAGGAGGACCGACATGTTTGGCCACTTACCCATAATTCTCGCTCTTCATCAGACCTGTGGAAAACTCAAAGAGATTTGGATTGTTCAGTGTAGAGTCTCTCTGACTGTCTCTTACCTTTTAGGATCACTAAATACTCTTTTAAGTTGCAGCTTGTATCATTTCTTTTGAAACATGTCCAGGTCATATTTCACCACAATTTTTTGTAATTATCAATATATATATATATATTTTACAATTTTTCTAAATGGTGATTTTCATTAGTATATTTACAGATGTTTTTTTTTTATTTAATCAGTATAAATACACACTGTACAACACATTTTACCATGTTTTATGAATATTTTACAATGCATTTAATTTATTTGTAATTCCCATTATTCTACATGGTGATTTTCATTAGTGTCTGACAGAAAAAGATACTATTATATTTAATCAGCATAAATAAACACCATGCAACACATTTTACCATGATCGTTATGGTCCAGCAGAGAAACAGAATATCCAAATAATGTAGTCTCTTTATCAGATTTAAACACACAACCATACAGTGGGGAAAATATTTATTTGATCCCCTGCTGATTTTGTAAGTTTGCCCACGTACAAAGAAATGAAGGGTCTGTAATTTTTATGGTAGGTTTATTTTAACGTATAGAGACAGAATATCAACCAGAAAAAACACATTATATAAAGGTTAGAAATTGATTTGCATTTCAATGAGTGAAATAAGTATTTGATCCCCAAGCAAAACATGACTTAGTACTTGGTGCAGAAACCCTTGTTGGCAAGCACAGA